TGCTGCCGAGCGCGCACCTGCGGCACAGGCGGACACACCACCGAGAGGGCCCGCGGTGACGGGCGCGTCGTGCCTGCGCGCGGGGCGCATCGGCATGCAGCAGGGGCCCGGGGCTCAGCCTGGCTTAGCTTGCAGCATGGCCGTCCACGTTGATACTGCCAGCCCTTGCGGCTGCAGCCTGGGGGCCCCTCAGGCGCTCCTGCGTGCACCTGAGAAGGACGGAAGCTGGGTGGAAGCTGTACAGACCGGCGCAGGCGATGGCGTCTGCGCCGCTGCAGGGGTGCCGCTGCTCTCTAGTTTCGGGGCTGCCTTTTTCGAATCCCCTCTTCCTGCCAAGTACAGCGGTCTCCTCGCTGTGCTGCGCCTCATTTTGCAGCGCAGCGCAGCGGTGTCTCGGGTGCATGTTCCACGTGCATCGGCGAAACAACATCGATTGCAATCTTGCTCTGCCTCGCTTTCAGCGCGCCTCGACGGTGTGCTGACGCGCGCCTGTGTGCGGTGCGAGGCAACATCACCCAAAGCAGCAGGGCGCTGGTGGCGCCATCGCCCGCGTAGCTTAGCGCAGGGTTGCGCACGCTCCAAGAACGCTGTAACAGGCCCGATCCTGGATGGCTCTTGGATGGTATGTGGTCACAGGCACACGGAGAAGATTGTCTAGTTGTGTGGGCGCTGTCAATATCCGACTGCAAGTAAGGCCTGCCTTGCAGGGGGGATGGGCAAGGAGGTGGCCCATGTTGGCACAGGGCGACGGGGCGGGGAGTGTGCACGGGCACACCTGCAGCGACGGGACCAAGAAGGTTGTTCATCGCAATTGGACCCCTGTTGCCATATGTGTGTTCAACTGTGCTTGGGTCGGCGCAAGCACAGTTACCGCGCACCACGACCAGTTGCTTGACAGGTGGTGGTCAGGGCGGTGAGAGCGGCACCAGGAGTCGCCATCACTTCCGTACCCGTGTAAGATATGTTGTGTACCACATATGTGATAAGGCAGCCGTAATAACATACACGTGTGCAACAACGGACAGCAGCAGCTCGTCAAGGACGTCTGAACACAGCAAAAGACACCGCGGCGTTTTATGCAGGCGCTCGTTGCGCTCTGCGACGACTGCTTACCACCGTGGATAACCTGGCCGGGTCGACAACGCTGCGAGCTGCAGCGCAGCCTGCTGCCAGCGGGCGCAGGGCCCAGCGCAGGTGCGTCGCCCGCGCGCTTTGCGCTCACTCAGTGCGACAGCGCGCAAGCGCTGAGCGAGGCTGCAGACACACAATTGAAACGTAATACAATAGTATCATTTCATGCCTCGCATATGCCCCTGACTGCGGCATGCACAGAACAGTGTGACGATGCGCATCATGCGGGCTGCCAAGGGCGCCAGCGCAGATGGCTGAGCATTTGCATCCGCGTGCGCACATTGAGCCACCGCCATTCCAAAAACACACCTTCATTGTGTCTGCCTCACCACCAGCCTGCCTGACCGTTGCACGGCCAATGCATCGCAGAGGCGGGCAGCGAGGCAGCTTCCCCCTTGCAGCTGGCGCCCGCAGCCCAAGAGCGGCCGCCGCCGCGTGCTAGCGGCGGTGGCGATCGGCAGCAACAGCAGCAGGAGCAAGAGCAGCAACAGCAGCAGCAGCAGCAGCAGCAGCAGCAGCAGCAGCAGCAGCAGCAGCAGCAGCAGCATCACAGAGCGCGACAACGCGAGGAACAGCAGCAGCAGCAGCAAGACCATGCAGGGGTGGAGTTGAAGCCAGTTCGGGCCAACCCATTCCTAGGGGTCGACCATTTGCTTGCCAACACCCGGCGACCGCTGGTGAAAGCACGCCCAGGGGTCAGCAGCAGCAACGGCGACGGCGCCGGCAGCGGCAGCAGCGGCAAAAGCGGCGGAGTTGGCAAGGGCGGCAGCACGAATTTGGAGAGCAACGATGGCTTTAGCAGCGGCGAGCGCGCCACGATCCCGACAAGCAGCGCCGGCGCAGAGGACGCGTCTCCCGGATGAGGGCGATTGATCCCGCTCCCGGGTGCCCGTGCGTTGTCTGCTGTTGCGAGCCTAGCTTTCAGGGAGAGAGGGAGTCAAGTGTATTCTTTTACAGGACCTGTTGTGCGTTGGGCATTCAAGCCGCGGGCGCGCTAGGCCCTGGTGGCTCCAAATGTCAGGTGTCAACCTCGTGACTGGCGACCCTGTAATCTTTCCTGACCCGCCCTTTGTGACTCTACGGGAGCAATTCCGCTATAGTTCGCAAGCATCATAAGCCGGGCGGTCATCATAAGCTGGGCGAGGCCATATGCGGGATGAGCGTGTTTCGAGGCGGCACGTAGGGGCACCTCCTGGGTCAGCAAGTGAGCCGTCCCCCCCCCCCCCAGCAGGTGGTGCCGCCCCTCTCAGCAGGCAGTCGGGGGTGCTGTGGGCAATGGGTAGACGGGGGGGGCTGGTCAGTGAGTGGGCGGAGGTGAGACCATAGGGTTCAGGTTGATCGGCCCACGCACAGTCGCTGCCAGCTGAGTTCCGGCATCCAATGCACCCAGCTACCAGGGTTGACCAGTCAGAACGACACCGTGTGAAGCTTGAGGCCACCGACCTGCCCGGCTTGGGGTCATTGCCGGCTGAGGCGGGCGCCTGCTGTCGTGTGGGGAATGGTGGGGATTACGCCCGCAACGACAGGGGCAGCGAGGTGGCCAGGGCTGGCGCTGGCGGGACCATCAATCCCCGAAGTGGTCACTGCAGTTTTGCCCAGCACCACCCCCGAAAAAGTCCATTGCCGCTGCCTGCAATGGACTTGCGGGGATGCGCCCTTGGCCCCCCTTTGATGTGCGACTGCGCACTGACGACTTGCCCCGGTGTGTTACTCCGCCTGGGTGCAATATGAGCCTCCAACCCGCAGCAGAGCGCAATTTGGCATGTATAATCGCGGGCACAGCACTGCGAATTGCAAACATGTTGGTGCTGGAGCTCGAGCAAGGACTTGTGATTGTCCAAAACCCACAGCGGCGTGAGCTTGAGGGTGACCACAGTGCATAAGAATTTGTGTTTGATGTTAGGCATGGGGGCCTCCGTAACTGTCATGTGGCTGTTCCAACAGATAAGCAAAGTGCGTGTATTGCCGCATTTCACAACAGTGCGGGCGAAGCTATCAACATGCCCAAGGCATGCAGCACGATGTACACAGGGTTCAGGGACCCCAAACCCTATAACCTAAACCCCAAAGTTTGTACAGCAGCCTGAAAACGTCCAGGACATCAATTGCAGCAGGACACAACGCGGCGGCATCACTTCCGCCCCTCGACGCCGCCACCACCGCCGCCCGCGGCCTCGTCCCCCTCCCCCTTGCCGCCGCCGCCGCCGCCCCGCGCGAACCAGCGCCAGGGGAGCACCACGTTTCCGATGCGGCTGGCGCCGCGCGCTGCAAGGCCCTCCACTAACGAGGGCAGCAGCGCGCTGGACTTTGCCTCGGTCACCAGCGCCTGGCGGTTGGGTTTGGTGAGAAGTTGTTTGAGAGATGCCCTAGTGAACGGTTCTTTAATGCGACGCCGCGTGCATGAAACGACACAGGGAGGGGCGTTTCGGGGTGAGGAGAGGCGCGGCAGGTGACAGAAGAGCAGGCCGCGCACTGGAACAAGGGTAGCCGCCGTGGCCGCGCCCCAAGAAGCCTCGTGCTGGGCATGCTCCACCAACACGACAATGACGGGAACATGACACACCCATGCTCGACGCTCTCGACCGCCTGAATGCTTGCGCGCGCCCCCCACACCAGCGCCGCACCTTGGCCAGCTGCGTGTGGATCTCCCGCTCGCTGGCCTGGTGCAGCAGCGTCTGGGTGAAGTCGGGGATGACCAGCGAGACCGTCAGGTCGCCCGCCCGCCCAGCCTTGCCGCCTGGCTGCTGCGCGGGCGCAGCGTCATCTGCGTCGTCCGCCGCCCCCGCCCGTTGCGCCCGCAGCCGGCTGATCGCGAGCGCCTCCGCCGCGCGCCGCGCCGCGGCCTCGGCGGCCCCCGCGGCCGCCCGCTCGTCGTCCTCCCGCCGCCGCGCGCGCTCCGCGTCGCTGAGCCGCCGCGACGCGTCCCTCAGGCTCTGGGCGAGCTGCGCCGCCTCTGCCTGCAGTGCCGCCTGGTCCGCTGCCAACGCCCCCAGCGACTGCTGTAGCGCCGCGTTGCGCGCCTGCAGCTCCCCCTGGCTGCTGCTCAGCGCGGCCACCTGCTGCTGCAGGCCGGCCTTCTCATTGGCGAGCGCCGCCTGGCGGGCTGCGAGGTCTGACAGGTGCCTCTGCAGCTCCTCCTTCGCGGCCGCTAGCTCAGCGGTGCGCGCGGCCAGGGCGCGGTTGTCCTCCCCGAGGGCCTCCAGGTGGCGCAGCAGCCGCAAGCTGCCGGCCGCACCGGCGAGCGCGGCGCCGGCAAGGCCGCCGGCGAGCAGGAGGCGCGCGAGCGCGCGCTGCAGGCGGCGTCGGCGGGCGCGGGGCGCAGGGGCCGCCGTCAGCAGGGCAGGGGCGGCGGGGCCCTCGATTGTGCCGATGGCGGCGGCTGAACCCCAATCGCCGGTCTTGGCCATTGCCGCTGCTGCCGCCGCACGAGCGCTGAAGAACGCCGCTTGCATGTCTTCCAAGGCGCGGGATTCATGGAAGTGGACGTGCAGGTGCTGCTGTGATTGCTGAGGTGGCTGCTGCCCCTGCTTCTGCTGCTGCTGCTGCTGCTGCTGCTGCTGCTGCTGCCGCTGCTGCCGCTGCTGCTGCATCGTTGGCGCCGCTGCAGCAGAAGCGTTCGTGCTGACGCTGCTGCTGCACACCCCTACAGCTAGGTCGCCCGCGGCAACCTCCGCACCCACACACAGAGCAAGATTTTCATCATGTCTTCCAGACTCGTACACTTCCAGTGGCTCGGACGTGGCCTCCTCGACGACAGGAGCTGCCTGGATGCAAACCATTCGCGTCGGGCCTGTTAATGATACATTAAAAGTATTTTAGTATGACATGATCTTTGCTGTACCTTAGTATTACAGGGACCCCCCAGTTCTTCCTGTGGCCCTCTTCCGATCACTGTCGACGATCACTGTCGACGAGCGCCTGCAAACCGCCGTAGCACGGTATTTTTTGTTCCAACCCAACACATCAAGGTGAGTGAACTTGATTCTGCGGCAAGGACTGCTTCGCAGTGCCAAGCCTGCGTCGCCTGCAATCTTCGCAGCAAACATGGAAGTATCCTCTCCTCCTCCAAGCCTTGGCAGGGCTGCAAGCAGCCTCAGGGGAGGCCTTCAGTGATGTAGCAACCTCTCAACAGCATGCTGGGGTGGTAGCTGACTGCCCACAGGTGCGCCATCACCAACCCCCTGATCCTGTGCGTGATTGCCAGTGGCCCGTTCCGCCCGGCGCCAGTTGTGCACCGGCGCCCATTGTGCACGACAGCCTTCCCTTGCAACCCTTTCACAATACAGGCTGGCTGATCAGCTGCAGCATAACGCAAGCAACAGCAGGACGTCGCGCGTCGCGCTGTCTGGGGCTGCATGTTCAGTGGCCGCACTGAACGTGCAGCTTGTGTATTCTTGTCCAGCCAATGGAACACGCCAGGCGCAGATCGTGAGCCAGAACGGCAGCGCAAGGAACAACAACAGCAGAAGCGTCAGTGGCCGCGCAAGCAGCGCCAGCCGCGTTTTTGCGAGGTCTGCAACAACTGTGCGGGTCACGGGGAGTCCCCGACCTCACCGCGCAGCGCAATGTGATCGTGGTCCCCGGCGTCTTTGGCGTCAGTGCTGCTGCAGCATGCCATTGCGAAGCGACAACTGGGCCTTCGTCTACTCTCTCCGCAATATCAACAGGAGTGGGCACCTGGGGGGCAGACACAGGGTGCGGGCTGATCTTATCGGAGGCACAAGCTGCAGGGCTGGGTGGCGCCACAGGATTTGAAATTGGTTGGAAAAATTGGTTGGAACGACGCTTAGTGGTGCTTGTGACTTGCAACTATGCTTCGGCCTGCAATTGTACGATCCACGAAACGCACCACAGCAAAGAGTGTTTGTTGCACACACCATTACGTGTACGCTTGGAGGAATGGTTGCAAAGAGAGCAGTTGATGAGCAGATCAGGTTGGAATAATCCTTAGTCCAACTGGTGGGGATCGCATGGGGTGGGAGCCACCAGCAATCGTTGCAAGCCTGTTTGGTGGGTGACCATACGGGTTTTGTACGGCATGAATGTGGCACCAGGCAGAAGGGTCTATGGTTGTTGATTGACCCTTTATTCTTGTGCATTGTGTCCACGGCCAGCCAGCTTTCATCACCACCCAACCGTTGGCGCAGCCAACGATCACATCACCACAAGATTTTTGAATCTATGCATAGATAGACTCCGCCGTAGCATGTATGCAGTAACGAGGGTTCGATTACTTTGGGGCGCCTAGAGTGGTCACCACTGTAAAAACAGCACACGGCAGGTGTGGGAAGCAGGAGCGTGCTCAAAATGATTGGGGTATCCCCGCCCGTAACCGTTCCACCGGTACTGTATGTACTTTGTTAGCACAGAACTTGCGTCTTTGGATTCCCAAACTCGCAGCAGCATGGCAGGGCATACGCAGAAGCAGGCTGGTCAGCTGAGCTAGAGCTGACCAGGGGCACACGCCCGTCATCATTGCGTAACGCGGCCCTTCCCGACATCAACATACTGTGGAGATGCGGTGCTTTATTCTTCAAAACGTGCTTCAATTTGATACGGTGTAGACTCTGACGCAGGGGGCCAACTGCAGTGTGATCACGCTGCCTTGTGTCCAGGCGTTGTGGACCGTGCCAAACACAACCTGGCCATTGTCGAGAGGTGATTGTCAGCCATGGACATGCGGTCCATCCAGGCGCGTGCAAGTTGCGCACAGCTCGCAGGCCGAGCTCGTCGCCAGGTAAAAATATATTTCATGCGAGAATACATCTGGATCTCATGTTGCGTGTGTGATGAGACAGCGCTCCACCAGCGTTCCTGAGCCCAATGAGTGTGTCGGTGAGGTAGCGCAAGTGCAGCGGGCTGGAGCGCGCAGGCATCCACGGACCCATCCCACTTTTTGATGAATTGAACCTTACAGGGGGTCCATGCAGTTAGCATCAAGCGCACAAGATCCGGAGCAGCGAGTTTGCACAGCCTACAGCGGCAGCAGCAGTTGCGTGTCGCCGCCACCGGCAACGGCGCTCACTCCACGGACACTGCAGTGCTGCCTGCCACGGCGCAGCAGCAGCAACAGCAGCAGCAGCAGCAACAGCAGCAGCAGCGGCCTTTCGTTGGCCTCCCCGAGGAGACGTTCGCCAAGATCATGGACTGCGTGCGATGTGTCAGATCGCACAGCGACCTGGTGCCCGAGGTTGCCATTGTCCTGGGCTCTGGCCTGGGCGCCATCGCTGATGAGCTTGATGAGGCAGTGGCAATCCCATATGCAGGCGAGGCTTGTGGGGCTGTCGTTGCAAGCCACCGATCAGCAGCAGCGCGTGCCATGCGATGCGGCCGAGCGCAGCAGCGGGGCGACGCGCGGGTGATCGTCGTCCACTCACCCCAGCAGCTCTGCACGCGGGCTGCAGGCGTGACTCCCCGCCCCTTTGTCGCTGAGCGTGTGCTTTCGTACGCTGGTGGGATGGCCGATTTCTCACGCGGGCTTTCTCTGACGCCCCCTTTGCACCGCGCGGCGTCGCATGCTCCGCATCGCATCCGCAGAGATCCCCCACTTTCACGCGCCCGGCGTGGCCGGCCATCCGGGGCGGCTGGTTCTGGGGCGGCTCAAGGGCGTGCCGGCGCTCGTGCTGCAGGTGGGGCCTGCGTTGCTGCAGCTGGCGTCGTCGCAGGGCAAGCGTAGCGCATTCTTGTGTGCAATTATGTATGTTGATGCGAGAGAGGGAGAGAGAGACGACGGGGGAAGAGGGGAGTGTGTGTGGCTGTGGGGGGGGAGCTGGTGTGCGGGCACCACGTGTGTGTGCTGTGTGATGATGTCATGCTCAGCAGCAATTCATAGGGTTGCATATGGGTGCAGGGAAGGGTCGCGACTGCCTCGCCAGCCTGCAAGTCACCCCCCCCCCCGGGCCCCCGGGCGGCCCCTGCTCACCCGTAACATGCTGCACCATGCACCCCTCCCTGCGTCACCCCACCCCCAGGGGCGTTTCCACTACTACGAGGGCCACCCCATGGGTGAGGGCGGCACGCTCTACCGGGTCTCGGGCCGCGGCCCTTGTGTTGGGCCCCCGGGCTGCAGTTGGCTGCAACCCATCGGGGCGCGCGGTGGCAGTTCGACGCCCCCACCAGCCTGCACCAAAATGACCCCCGGCTGCTAGATCTGTCCTGCTGACCCTTTTTACGCAGTATCCCGCCGATCCAGCCGGCCCCCTTTGGTATCCCGGCCCCAACTGCCAATTCCACAAACCCTCAAAACGCCGTATGCTTGGCTTTGACTCTCAAAATCATCATCCCATCTCACCCCCAACCTGCGCCCCGCACCTCACACCCACACCACCACAAACCAACACGCCCCCTTTTGGACACTTACGCCCCAGAGCTTCTTGCCACCCCACAACTCCAATGATCCTCCCGATTTTGCTCTACATCTCATAACACATGACACAACATGACATTGCGTGACGTCACACGGCATTACATCATCCCATCATGCGATGCTCCCCCAGACGAGGTCATCCTGCCCATCCGCATGGCCAAGTACCTGGGCTGCCACTCCGCCATCATCACCAACGCGGCCGGCGGCCTCAACCCGGGCTTCAGCGCGGGGGACCTCATGATCATAGAGGTGGGAGGGGGGACTCTTTGAGTGTGTGTGGTTGTGGTTGTGTGTGTGCGTGTGTGTGTGTATGTTTGTGTGTGTAAGTGTGCGTGTGTGCATGCGCGAGTGGGATCAAAGCAATAAAGGCGGGGAGGTAGGGGCATGGCGCTTTCGGACGCCCGTGTGCGCCACGGCTCCCGCGTCCGTCCCTCTCTTGGCTGTGCCCTGTCGCTGTTTTGCTCTAACTTCAAGTCGGGACCATGAGCATGAGGACCTCATGCTCATGGTGTGGGTGCCTTGCACCAACGTGCATGGAAACGCAGTGCGGCTCGGCATGCGTGCGCACCGCACCCATCCACCCTCTCACAAAGAGGACCCCATTGACACGAGTGGCTCCCGCCCCTCCATGCCTTTCCCTGCCACCTGACCCCCTCCTCCCTCCTGCATACCCGCAACCCCCCATCCCCTCCCCCCCAGGACCACATCAACATGATCGGCTCCAAC